ATACGATCATCCTATTTCGACTCTTCAAAATTCAAGAGTGTATCCTAAATGGATGTAAATTATATGGCCTTCCAAATACCGTTTCGATTCCTAACATCACTGAAGAGACATTAATTGTCGAAATCCGGATATGGTGTACAAATTTTTGCACCTCATGTTTGCGGTATACCATCCTTTCCGCAAGTTTATTGTTTTCTGTTTGGTATTAAATTAATAATAAAGATCCATTTTGTTACATCTTGTGATCCGTTTATTTGGCAATCGCCAATGTCAGTCAGCAGGGTTTAAGAACATCCGTTGTTCGACCTGTTAGTCAAATGCGTCACTCTTATAGTTTACCTCAAGGTTCTTTCCTGCTTTTTGATAGCTTGAATGGCAGCGAAGGTCGTTGATAACTATAATCATTCTCCTCTAACTACCAAAGCCTTTTTAAGAATCTGTCTTGACTTCTTGCTGGGCTCTTTATCGTTTGACAAAAATGAAGCAAATCGAAAAAGATACCTTAAAAATCTTTACCTTGACAACAGATATGTGAGGGGGTCATATGTATATAACGAAAAAAATATGGAACATCAACCCTCCCAGAAAGGAGGACGGTGGCAATTGCCAAATGTATTCTTGATCTATGACAGACCTTACCATAAATCTTTGATGTTACGGTTGTCTGCATTTTGATGGAAAGAGTAATTTGTATCACAAATACTTGACAAGATTACATAGCTTTTGTTGACCTTGTAATTTTTTTCACTTCTAAGCATATTTCAGGATTATATGATATATATTTGTTAGTCATGTTTTGTGTTAACAAATAGGCCTGTAACAAATAAATGGATAAAAAGAAAATAGAACATGAAATAATTAATATGTATTATACAGTCTAATTCATTATCTCACAAATATTAACTGGGACTGACCTCCCATCTAGACACAATTCTTACTAATTCTTCATGTAAACCGAAATCTATTGAATTAAAGTAGTAGGGATCATTTCGCCTGTACTTCTTTTGTATTTATAAAGGTCTTTCGTTCTTTACTAAAATGTACCATATCCAAGTTTCATATGCTTACGTTGATTATATCGTAATTATGTATCCGAATTACAACTGCTTCAAGTTTGCTCAAAACTATATTTATCCAAAAACTGAGAAAAGACAATCTAATATGGAATTTTAAGCGCTCTCAAGCCCTCATTTAATCAGCAATGAGTCCAAAGATGTGTGCCGATAAACTATTTTACAGGAGATATGTACATTGGAAATGTAAATTATATTCACAATTACAACGTTAGCACTCTCATATCTTCATTTCTTGTCAAATTTGTACGAAAAATGTCATAAGTTTTTATACCAGACGAGTGCGAAAATCAGTGCAAATCAATTTTTTTAACAAGAATTATGTCCCTAGAAAAAGTTATAAGCGCCTTTACGCATAATTTTTTCACGTTGGGAGAATAATAAATACGGAAGGCAGTGTTTCCAATCAACGCCAAAAATGATGAAAAATATGAAATTACAAGATAAGAACAGAATTAAACAAACGTTATTGCATGCGAATTCAGGTCAATAATGTGATACATTATTATCTTGAAACACTATTTGATATAAGTAAAAGCAAGTAGAAATTATAGGCGTTGATAAACTACACATACAGGTGAGTGAATAGTAGTGTTTCTTCTAACTTTTTGTAAAAAGTACTCTATATATCGTTCCCATGTGTGTTTCAGTATATTAGTATTCTATATATCGTTCCCATGGGTGTTTCAGTATATAAGTATTCTATATATCGTTCCCATGGGTGTTTCAGTATATAAGTATTCTATATATCGTTCCCATGGGTGTTTCAGTATATAAGTATTCTATACATCGTTCCCATGGGTGTTTCAGTATAGAAGTATTCTATAAATCGTTCTCATGGGTGTTTCAGTATATAAGTATTCTATATATCGTTCTCATGGGTGTTTCAGTATACAAGTATTCTATATATCGTTCCCATGGGTGTTTCAGTATATAAGTATTCTATATATCGTTCTCATGGGTGTTTCAGTATACAAGTATTCTATATATCGTTCCCATGGGTGTTTCAGTATACAATAAAATTGAGAATGGAAATGGGGAATGTGTCAAAGAGACAACAACCCGACCATAGAACAGACAACAGCAGAAGGTCTCCAACAGGTCTTCAATGCAGCGAGAAATTCCAGCACCCGGAGGCGTCCTTCAGCTGGCCCCTAAACAAATATATATACTAGTTCAGTGATAATGAACGCCATACTAAACTCCAAATTGTACACAAGAAACTAAAATTAAAAATAATACAAGACTAACAAAGGCTAGAGGCTCCTGACTTGGGACAGGCGCAAAAATGCGGCGGGGTTAAACATGTTTATGAGATCTCAACCCTACACCTATACCTCTAGCCAATGTAGAAAAGTAAACGCATAACAGTACGCACATTAAAATTCAGTTCAAGAGAAGTCCGAGTCTGATGTCAGAAGATGTAACCAAAGAAAAATGACAATAATACATAAATAACAACAGACTACTAGCAGTTAACTGACATTATATTCTATATATCGTTCCCATGGGTGTTTCAGTATATAAGTATTCTATATATCGTTCCCATGGGTGTTTCAGTATATAAGTATTCTATATATCGTTCCCATGGGTGTTTCAGTATATAAGTATTCTATATATCGTTCCCATGGGTGTTTCAGTATAGAAGTATTCTATATTTCGTTCCCATGGGTGTTTCAGTATAGAAGTATTCTATATATCGTTCCCATGGGTGTTTCAGTATAGAAGTATTCTAAATATCGTTCCCATGGGTGTTTCAGTATATAAGTATTCTATATATCTTTCCCATGGGTGTTTCAGTATATAAGTATTCTATATATCGTTCCCATGGGTGTTTCAGTATAGAAGTATTCTAAATATCGTTCCCATGGGTGTTTCAGTATATAAGTATTCTATATATCTTTCCCATGGGTGTTTCAGTATATAAGTATTCTATATATCGTTCCCATGGGTGTTTCAGTATATAAGTATTCTATATATCGTTCCCATGGGTGTTTCAGTATATAAGTATTCTATATATCGTTCTCATGGGTGTTTCAGTATAGAAGTATTCTATATATCGTTCCCATGGGTGTTTCAGTATAGAAGTATTCTATATATCGTTCCCATGGGTGTTTCAGTATATAAGTATTCTATACATCTTTCCCATGGGTGTTTCAGTATATAAGTATTCTATATATCGTTCCCATGGGTGTTTCAGTATATAAGTATTCTATAAATCGTTCCCATGGGTGTTTCAGTATATAAATATTCTATAACCATGTTTTACACTATAAGAAATTTTCACTTTAAGATAAAGTGTATTTGATTTACAGACAAATACATCATTAAATGGACTTCAACAGCGTTGCAAATTGGTAGTCCAAACGGCAAACTTTACCTGGGGAGCTGTATCGAGGATTTCATGATATGACTGGACATTTAAGCAACAGACTGCTGTTTACGCTGCATGTACAGTCTGTATACCGGTCACTTTTACATGTCCCTCGATTTCAACGTGTGATGTCTGAATCTGAATTATTTCACTTATCCTTATTATAGTATTGTAATATCTCCAGTATTATAAGGTGACCACTGAAGAGGTTATATATCGGATTAAGACAATCATTATAGGCTTGTTCTATTTAGGCGGTCTTTTTATTCAATTTTCTCAAAACATTACATGTAGTTTTAAACTGTCTTAAATTTAAATCTGTAACAATGCCTGAATATGTGGAAAACATATTATGTTTGGTTGACACTAAATTCTAATATCAACGTCTTTTGATTAACCGAACAATTTTAGGATTAGAAATTCTGTTTCTCGGCGAGGTTAGACAGCCTTAATTGGGACAAACTTTGCAGCATATATGAAACATCATTTGAATAGAACCGACCCGACCACATCAACTTTATTAAATAAGGCATCAATAATCGAGTGTCAATCCTCTGTCATGTGCTTACTGCAAGTAAATAGAGAATCTCTCATGATTCAGGATTGGCACTCGATTACTCGTAGTGAACGTCAAACTAAGATTTTATTTTTATAAGATTGTCTAACTGATGTACACTAAATAATTGGAGATTTTTTTGATAATTTCTATAACAAATTAACTGACGCGTTCATTTCAATGTTTCACAAAAATAGCTATGTTGATTTGAGCTAGCGCGGTTCTTTGTTTTATTGAATAAACCGACAGATGGATTTTTGTAGTTCTGTAACAGTAACATCATTTTACATGTTCGATTGTCGCACCTCAGGGCGTTTTAAAACCTGACCATGCTATAATTCAAACAATAAAGCATGTTAATATCTTTGTAAGAATTGAACTGAAAATCCAATTAATCTCAAAATTGTCACCAGAGATTTCTTTTTTTAGCCTATTAAATCGACAACTACGAAATTTCTTTTGTCATCCTGTCATGCAATAGTCCAATGGCAATTTGCAAATGGAAAAAAAATCTGCTCTGATCTGAATTTCGTGCGAATTAGTGGAAAAACGTTCTACTTGTGCTCAAAACGATATCATTATATTAAACTGTTAGTACTTACTAAAGTGTATTTATTTTCCATTGATATTCTTTGGTACTAATGTTATTGATAGATATAAACATTATTTCTGGACTCGTCCCAATGTGACGCAAAAAAGATATATTGGTCTGTACTACAGACAGTTTGACCGGTTCAACAATAGTTTTTGGGAGCTCTTCCCGACATCACCTGGTCATTGGATATAAATACATTGTAATCTTATTAATGATATTAGTTAATTACGAAAGTAAATGTTCTGCATCTGGATTTTCAATGAATTCTGTGGTTACGTAAAATATAAAGGATATATTTCGCTTGTTTTAGAGGAAGAGAATTGGACATTCTAAAATGGACACCTGCCTATGAATCTTTAATTAGATGTAGTGAAATAAAACTGTCACTTTTCTTTAATGCAGGACTGGTTATAGGTACCATTCATTTCGGAGACAAAAAAGGCGCATCAATGACTGGTGAAAAATTATCTTGTGTGATAAAATGAGAATCCACCTCCTGGTTTATATAATTGTTGTGGTAACAGAATATAAGGTAAGAAACTCCTACGGTTTGTAGTATGGTGAGCCCTTCTTTGAGTACAGCAAATAAGATGTACGGAAGGTAACCCAATTTATATCAATTCATCGGTTTTAAGTGAGGGTAAATCCTCACTGTTTTGTTTAGTATTGTTTGTTGTTTGTTGTTTTAATTTGATTTTTTTGTTGTTGTATGTGATGTTTCTGTTTGTGTTTTTATTAATTATTTTTTTGGAGGGGTGCAGGGGACTGGGGGGGGGGGGGGGTGGTGGTAAGAGATAATTTATTATTGCATTTATATTTGTCGCGTTTTGTCACTAAATGTATGAATTTAAGGACAAACAGCTATTTCATGTGTGTCTGCATATTCATAGAAAATAATTAAAAAATATATAAATATAGTTTATAAGGGAAGGTAAAACAATAGATATAATGCAATTCAAGATTATATTGTCAAGTGGATTTTACCAAAAAAAACCACGCGGATTATATCCACTAGAAACAGTTGCACTTAAAATGAGAGGCTTGCCGAGTGTATCGTGTAGTTCTCATTCTTTTATAAATAGGTCCTCTCAAAATAAGGACATTTTGCACAACCTGTAACTTAAATAAAAGCTTAGCAATAACGAAGCTGCGTGTATCGTGTAGTTCGCCTTCTTTTCACACATAGAATCCTATCAAAATAAAGATATTTTACACAACCTGTAACGTAAAAAATAAGCTTAGCAATAACGAACATTCTATTGTAGTTATAAGATATCTTGAGATTAACTACATTTTCCATGAAATAAAACTCGTTTGTGGTTCAAAGACCTTTAACAGAGAGCATGCACTTTTCAGTATTGAGTTGTATTTTGACATGCAGACAACTATCTCAGCCGTTAATAGTACCATATTGTTTACCTCTTCTTAAAGATGTTCTCAAATATACCAGTGTCAAGTGAATGTGTCTTTCAATTGAGTAAACCACATTACATAAACTATATTCGTATTTTTTATCGTCTGTGACGAATGTCGCCTACAGCGATACTTAAGAATGCTAATAAAGCAGCGGTGGTAACTTTTTGTATAAAGCTTCATATTTCAGAGGATAGAAAAGCTGAATAATCCATAGTTGATATACGGATGTCTTATGGGCTGAAGTTTTCTTCGAACATGTGTCCGTTATCCTTTACCTCATTTTCAAGGTTCCGTGACCGGTTAAAAAATCTTCAGTTTTTTATCACATGATTTTTTAAAAAGTTATGAGTAAAAATACAACTGTATTTGGTATATAGAATCATTACTAAGATTAAATGTTTGTCAAAAAGGCAGGGTTACCTAGCCTTGACAGTTCACGGTTCAATTGTCAACTTTCATTTGACCTTGGCCTCATTTTTCTTGGTTTATTGGTCAACGTTAATTTTTTATGTATTGGTCCATTTTTAAGATACTATAAGTAAAAGGTCAAATTATATTCGGTGTATAGAATGATTTTAAATCGGATATGTCGTCTGACATGGTTATTATCACCTTATTGGCATGGTTCATCACTATTGTTAAGTTCATGTGATATATGTAGTAAGACCTTGATCTTAAAGACTTTCAATAAAAAAACCAATCCTAATTATCAAAGCAGGTGAGACATTCAAGCGTGTGCACTTCTGTTACTGATATTATTATACTGTGTTATAGATAAATAGCTTGTTAGACATTTTTAGTGTGATTTTCTGTTCAAGTATGAAAATCGCAAAAATGAGTTCTGAAATTGTATGGAAAAGTTAAATAGTCGACGTAACATTTGAAAATGAATTAAAACGAAATTTTACATTTTTAAGTTGTTAATATGAGTAAGAAAATAGCAAATGTGGGATAAATAGGCGTAAATACGAATAATATCATGGACTAAATATATCGCAATTAATTGGAAGCGTCAACACGATTTTTCTTTTAAAATTGCTAGTTACAAAACCGTAAATGTGAGTTACAAAAAGTCGCAAATGACAGTTATGAAGTTGTTTAAAGAAGTTGTGTTGTCGGTATAACACGAGAAAGATTAATATTACATCAAAATTCTACATATCAAAAGTCGTTAATGTGAGTTTAAGATTCGCAAATTGGGTTAAATAGGAGTTAATCCGAATCATATCATGTACTTACCAGATTCTAATTTGTTTGAATCGTCACCATGATTTTTTGTTGTTGTAACTGCTAGTTTCAAAAACGTAATTATGAGGTAGAAATCTGTTAACAAAAGTTGAAATTTGTTAATGGGATAAAGAAGTCTTTGATTTCCTATATAAGTCTTTTTTTGAAAAAAAAAAAAAATTGAATTGTCGCTCAAGTAGTTTTCCAAACGCAATTGCAGGATAGCTTCAAATACAGAGAATTGTAGGGCTCCCTGGGAGTTGTTGGATAGCTTTACACTAGTTATATACATACATCTCTGCACTATCGAAGAAGAATTATGCAATTTATGGGAAACATGATTGATTGACACTAACATTTCGTAAAAAAAAATATTGATATAAGTTTGTGCTGGGAACAGTATATCAATATATATGTTCCTGGTTTGTGCTGTCTGAAATTTGTCCAAGAAGGTTATTTAAATTTTGGCTTTGACGTACGCCTTTTAGATGATGGATTTATAAAAATCAAACTGAATCGAATTTCACCAAGAAAAGTAAAATGATGGAATCGAAAGCAACTTCTTCGCTCCTTTCCCCCGCAAGCATTGGCCCTTATCTGCTATCGTGGTCTCTTTTATGTCATTGTAAGAACTGTTTGTCTTAATAAATGCTGGGACTATTATACTAACTTATACTTATGTTAGTATAATAGTCCCAGATAAATGGTTGAAATGAGTATATTTCAATCATAGACAAAGGTGAGACATATGTATCTGATTGTTAACTTTAATCACAGGCACTATAGTATAGACCTTCTATCAATAATAATAAGATATGGGCAAGGATTTGTATATACCTAGTTACTATACAAATCCTTGATATGGGCATTGGGAAGAAAATAGTGACAATTAATGTATTAGATACACCTTGAGGGCGTTAGACTGAATGGGTCAAGATATTATTGTCAATGCAGAATGATAGTTGTCAATAATTTAGGAGGGGGTCTTTCAGCGATGCCATCATATGTTATTGAAAAGCGTGATAAATGCAGGGTATCCAATTTCGTTTAACGACATTTGGTGTAAATAAAAAATAAACTGCTTTGTTTACATTTTGCAGATTTTGGCATTGGAAACCTCCTCTTTTTTTATACACATTGACACTATTTTCTTCCCATTGCCCATATTTTATTATTATTGATAGAACGTCTAGTGCCAAGCTGTGCTTTAGTTGATAAAATCTGAGACAATATATGTGCTAAAATTGAGCACTGATCATGGAAAGTAATTAATTGATGTATGTTTTTTTAATTGTCTCATTGTAGGTGTTATGCCAGTCTGGTGGATTTAATGAGTGGAGTGGATTTGGTCCATGCTCTCGAACTTGTGGAGGAGGAATACAGTCCAGACATAGATCTTGTATAGAAACAAGGTTTGTCTAAGACATATACCAGTACCTCTGTGTCCTATAACATATGACTTCACAATTTCTTTCCTATTTTCGACGTTTTTAGTCTGATATTTTTATTTTTCTGTTTTATGAAAATGCAAAGTCATATCGGAAATGACTATTTTCCTACAGCACTTTCCACCATGATTTCAGGGCATAAAGAAAAATCAAAATGGCTCAATATATAAGAAATGTCATAAACATAGATTAAGTCATTGTTTTCATGAAATGGGATTAAACAAATGGTGAAATGCTAAATATGACACACTATTCACTGATAAATTTAGTAAACACAGATATATTTGTAAATAAAAATAAGAAGATGTGGTATGATAGCCAATGAGACATTTTTCTCTCCATCCAAGTCACAATGTGTAAAAAGAAAACAATTATAGGTACAGCCTTCAACACGGAGCCTTGGCTCACACCGAACAGCAAGCTATAAAGTGCCACAAAATGAGTATGACTAGTATAAAACAATTCAAACAGGAAAATCAACAGTCTAATCTATTTAAAAAATGAGAAACGAGAAACACTTATGAACCACATCAACAAATGACAATCACTGAACAACAGGTTCCTGACTTAGGACAGGTGCAAATAAATGCATCGGGTTTAAACGTTTTAACAGGTGCAAACAAATGCAGCGGGTTTAAACGTTTTAACAGGCGCCAACCTTCCCCCTAACCTGAAATAGTAGTGCGACATTACAACATAGAAAGGCACACTATAAAATATCAATTGAAATGGCTTAACTCAATCAAAAAGACATATTAACAAAAACAAGTAAACATACACTGAATGAATAAATTTGATCTATGACACATTATATAAATACAATATTAAATAAAAAAGGGGGAGATGTAAAACAATGTCAAAAAGACAACTATAACCTTGGACAAAATGGCATTAAATAAAATAACGTACACAGGTAAATTTAAGTATTAATCTTGAAATTGATGCAATTTTTAGTTAACCGAGATCCCTTATTTAACAATTTCTTATAAAATATATTGTAAATATTTTATCCATATCAAATGCAGATTGACGTGGTGATAAATTGAATTGTAATCAATAAATGGTCACAGTAATTCAGTTTGGTCATTGAATTCATTTTGATTAATAGTTTTCAGATTTTATTACCAATAAGACAGCAACCCAACAGCAATAAAACCAAAAGACCTCTTAAGAGCAACATACAGTCTTTAACAATAGACCATCACAGGTGTCTATACAATATGTCTATTTTCTAAAATATATCCTGATGGAGTCTAATATAATGTAAAGTAATGATGTCTACGCTTTATTAATGTAAATAAGTCCACAACAGACAGAGGCACCTAACATATATATCAAATTTAAGCATACATACAATAGACATGATATATCAATCTAGTTATTGGAGTCAAACATCAGTTCTATTAACTGCTTTTCAAAGAATGTGAATATATTAAATTTTGTTTATTGTCACAAGTTTTTGATCTGTTGAAACATGTAAAATTTGTTTATATAAAAAAATTTCACACCTTTTTATGCCCCTGCCTTAGGCAATGGGGGCATGAAGTGTTACCCTTGACTGTCCTTCTTTTCGTCTGTCCCATTTTCATTTTTGCACTCTAACTTATATTTGCTTCATTCAAGTTTTATGAAACTCACACACAATGCAAAGGATCAAAACTTGCAGACAGATTTTGAATTTGGGCAGCGAGTCACTTACCGTTCTAGAGTTATGCCTCTTTATAATTTGGAAATTTAAAAAAAATGTTCATTCCCGCACTCGAACTTAAGTTTGCCTCATCCAAATTTTATGAAACTCATACACAATGCTAAAAACTACAACATGCAGACAGAATTTGGGCAGTGAGTCATGTACTGTTCTAGAGTTATGTTCTTTTTAACTTGGAAAATTGCAAAACTTGAGCGAGAGCATTTGTGTCCTCAGACACATACTTCTTTTATTTGAAAAATGTTAAAAAAGAAACTATTTTCGTCATCTGAAATTCTTTGAACTGGACATATCCAGTCTTTAATACAATTGTTATTTTAGTAAATATATCAGTTGGAATTGGGATAAAATAGTACATGACTTTCATCCAGTTGCAACCTCCAGATAAACAATTTATAATAGCTGACAATGTATACATAATATAACATGGAACTAATCATTAAGTACAGGAATCTTTTTTCAATCTTTTTCATTTGACAATGTAACACTTAATCAGTGAAATGAAATATAAATAAAAACAATTTATCAACAAAAAAGACATGGATCGCCTAAGATTGTATTTGACAATAATGTCTGTAAACTGACATTTTTGACTGAGTGATATAAAAAAAAATCATACACATGTACTGTCACATTAAACAATACAAGATGAGATTTTTTTTTAATAATTTAGTTGTTACTTCTTTCTTGAAAACATGTAAAAATTAAGTTTACCTAACTATTTAATTACAACTATACATATTAATATATAGAGTATCTATCAAAAGAAGTTGCCTTGATGCACTAAATTTTTCAGTCTAACCATGGAAGTATTATAATGACTTCCATGGTCTAACAACTTGCAGGATAAGAGCTACAAGTTATGGGTTACAGCCAGCAAGTTACAGGCTGGGGGAATGTTAATGGGCTTTGCTCCACATCTCTGCCTCTCTTTCTAAGAGTCATTTCAAATAATAATTTTACACTTTATGATTACAGAAGAACTGAATCTTGTCGTGGGAAGAAAACAGAATATAGGACATGTAATACACAGGTAAAACAGAATATAGGACATGTAATACACAGGTAAAACAGAATAAAGGACAGGTAATACACAGGTAAAACAGAATATAGGACAGGTAATACACAGGTAAAACAGAATATAGGACATGTAATACACAGGTAAAACAGAATATAGGACATGTAATACACAGGTAAAACAGAATATAGGACAGGTAATACACAGGTAAAACAGAATATAGGACAGGTAATACACAGGTAAAATAGAATATAGGACATGTAATACACAGGTAAAACAGAATATAGGACATGTAATACACAGGTAAAACAGAATATAGGACATGTAATACACAGATAAACATTTAATAAATTAGATATAGCACATGTAATATACAATGGTGAACAATTATCCAATAAATATAGGCAGAGTGAATGTATGGTTAACAACTATATTAAAACATTTCTTTATTCCAAAAAGATGAAACGGTTTTGATGGTCACATGGTAGGATGTTTGCATTGAGTGCATTGGAAATTAAAGGTGGGTCAAACCACATTCTTCAAACTTTGTATTTGCTGCTGTTTCTCTATGCATGTACAATTTTTCAGCTCATTTAAAGTCAGAATAATAATGTATCTGAATTGGGTGACATGTTTTCCTGAGAATGTAGCCTTGTTAGCTAGCGCATTACAAATGTGGTTCATGTTGCTTTAGTAGCAGTATTCATATCACAGCAATATTTTTCATACTGAAAATCATTTAGAGATTGTTGGCTGCGTTTCTTACATTCATTTATCCAATCAACAGTCCATGGAAAGGAAAAGGGCAGTCAAAAACTATATGTGGATGAAGATAAACAGCATCATTGCCAACAAAAAGAAGTCAAAACTGACAACAGTCAAGAAAACATTCATACACAAAACTCTTAAGCATTTAAAGTGTGAAATGATATAAATTAGAATTAAGTTGCAGGGGTATATGCAAAAATACAAAGCAAGGAAAATTGAAAAAAATAGTAATTTGAAAACAACAAAATGATTAAAATGATTATACTAAATGCTAGGAATAATCCTTGACCACTTTTGAAATGAGAACTGGATAATTATTCACATGGCCTTAAAGTTTATAAATATACCTTGAAATATAAACATGTCGTTAAATTTGTAATTGAAAAAGTATGATACCTATTTGTAGGTATTCATTTTACATAAAAGGTTATTGAGTAAATATTGCATAATTTGATGTTACTTTGTCAAACTGTTCTAGGTGTAATGTCAACGGTACTTCATACTGTTAAATATAATATAACAAGTGTAATACTGTGTAAACATCTGCATATGACCTCGAAAGGCTTTATTCATACACATCACATCCCATTTGCATCAAAAGAAACATTGATAAAATAGTGTTTAGTGAGTATCTGTTAAGTGTATACATTACAAATAGTCATGAGTTATAGTAAAAAGATTAAAACATAACCATAGCATTTGTATAATGTTTTAGATATTCTTTTTTAGTATGTTTGGCCTACTTTAGAAAAGCCAAGTGGTAGGATTAGTGTCTCTTAATAAAATCAAGCAGTTAAATGGCTCCAGACTGAAACTTTAAAATGTTATCATAAACCAAAAAACAACAAAAAATATTTTGGTGTTTTCAAATAAGACTAAAATGTGATAAAGGGTAAACATCATTGTGGCAGCAAACCCAATGATACCAAAAACACAGAAGACATCTAGAAGTCAACAGATGGTTTTGCGACAAGTGTGTTGGCAGTATGCCATGTTCTAAATTACTCTTCTCAATCTAGAAAAGTTGTGAATAATTTTAACAGAGACAAATAACATTGATATTACCAAAGCCAACCCCTGACAAAGTTCCAGACTAGGGACATGAACTTGTCATAACAGGATTAAACTGGCTTTTAGAGCACTTTGCTTGCTTGTTGCATATCCTCGATGTTTCCCACTCAACTTTAGAACATTTGTCATTTTGACTTTTGTTGCAGAAAGCTCGACATAGGGATAGTGATCTGGCGGCGGCGGCGGCGTTAGCTAACTTCTTAAAAGCTTTATATTTTAGAAGGTGGAAGATCTGGATGCTTCATACTTTGTATATGGATGCCTCATGTTACGAAGTTTCCGTCAGTCACATGTCCAATATCCTTGACCTCATTTTCATGGTTCAGTGACTACTTGAAAAAAAAGTTAAGATTTTTTGTAATGTTAAATTCTCTCTTATTATAAGTAATAGGATAACTGTATTTGGTATGTGCTTACCTTGCAAGGTCCTCATGCCCGTCAGACAGTTTTCACTTGACCTCGACCTCATTTCATGGATCAGTGAACAAGGTTAAGTTTTCGTGGTCAAGTCCAAATCTCAGATACTATAAGCAATAGGTCTAGTATATTCGGTGTATGGAAGGACTGTAAGGTGTACATGTCAAACTGGCAGGTGCCATCTGACCTTGACCGCATTTTCATGGTTCAGTGGTTATAGTTAAGTTTTTGTGTTTTGGTCTGTTTTTCTTGTACTGTATGCAATTGGTCTACTATATTTGGTGTATGGAATGATTGTAAGGTGTACATGTCTAGCTGGCAGGTGTCATCTGACCTTGACCTCATTTTCATGGTTCAGTGGTCAAAGTTAAGTTTTTGAGTTTTGGTCTTTTTTTCTAATACTATATGCAATAGTTCAACTATAGTTGGTGTATGGAAATATTTTATGATCTATATGTCAGTCACGCAGGTTTTATTTGACCGTGACCTCATTTTCAAGGTTCATTGCTCAATGTTAAGTTTTTGTGTTTTGGTCTGTTTCTCTTAAACTATAAGCAATAGGTCAACTATATTTGTTGTATGGAAGAATTGTTAGCTGTACATGCCTGCCTAGCATGGTTTATCTGACCTTGACCTCATTTTCATGGTTCATTGGTCAATGTTTAGTTTACTTGGTTAATGTTAAGTTTATGTGACAGTTGTAATAAAGCTTTATATTTAGGACAATCAACATAATATCAATGATTAGTAAAGAAGGCGAGACATTTCAGTGTGTGCACTCGTGTGAAGAAAAAAAATGAAATTTGTCAAAACTATTTACCTCAGATTCTCAGTAAATATTCATTTAGAATAAAGACATTGTAGGTAATTATCTATCACTTTAACACCAAATTCATATGATTTTATAATACTTTATTCATTCAGACCAAATATTGCCCTTAAAAAACTTGCTTTTTTTTATTCTGAATAATCGACTAAACTATGATACATGTTTTGTCTTGGTTTAAAACTTGATTATATACTGGTCCTGTGTTCTTGTTTATAATTTTAAGGAAAACAGTAATAGTTTTGATTTTTATACAGTTATCTTTCTACTTATAGGATTGTCCAACAGGGTCAGGAGATTTCAGAGCAGCCCAGTGCTCGGAGTATGATTCCATACCTTTAGATGGCAAGTCTTACAAATGGCTGCCATATTATGGAGGTACATATTTGTACATGTAATAATTTTAAATATATATGAAAACAATTTTTGTCTCTTTTTCGTAGTTGCTTTTTAAATCTAATATAGCCATAGCGATATCATGGAAGTAAATTTAATTTCAGAGTAAATAAAGCTTGAAATGCAAAACAACGTGAATTATTATAATTGAATATGCAGATAAATATATTCGTTTACCTAGTTAAATGATTACATATCAAATAATTTATGTAAATAATCTAAGGTGTTGGTATATATGACTTGAATTTTTTTCTTTTAGTTTATTAGATTCAAGTTGACACATTTTTTGTCTGGAGAAATTAATACACAAATTTTTAGACTTAATATGATGATAGATGGGGAATTCAATTTCAAAATGTCATACATTTCTCTGAACACATTTCACTAAAGTGTTTTTATGGTTAGCATGCTTTTCATCATACAAAAACATATTGATGTATACTTCTTTGTTGCTAAGCATGCAGTAAATAAGAAAAATACTGTTGATTTACTTTTGAAATCTAAATGAAAATCTTAAATGGAGTGACATGATAGACTGTTGAATGTTAAGTCAGTTAGCCAATAGTGTATTGTTGTTGGTATGGTATCAGTTAAGGTATTTTTATAATATTCAACATGATAATGTACATCTTTTGTAGGGGTTGAATCTACTCAGTGTCAATTGTATTGTGTAGCAGAACAAGAATATTTTTTCCACAAATTGTCAGACAAGGTGATAGATGGAACACCTTGTAATCAGGAGACCAGGAATGTGTGTGTCAATGGGAAGTGTAGGGTAGGCATCCATACTCTTTTTTATGATATGTTAGTATGGATATAGAAATAAGGAGATGAGGTATGATTGCCAATGAGATAACTATTTAACAAAGATCAAAGGTCAAAGGTGTGAACATCATGAACTTACCATTATGTGGAATCCTTTTGAAAACTTATCATAGTATTTAAGTAAATCAGGAAGTGATTTCTAAGTTGTTTAAGCATATTGAAAGCATTCTTGGGAAATATAATACTTGGTAATGCTATTATGTAAAATTATCTCTAAAAGTAGCTTAATAAGAAACTTTTATCATACACCATCCCAAGAAGGAGTATACTAGTTTACTCTGTCTGCTGTCAAGCCTTTTTGATGCTTTTCATTAACAACTTCTTAAATCTGCTAATAGATAAAGCTAGAAGAGTCCTAAATGTTGAATATTGAATTGTACAATCTATTCTGTTGATCTGTTGACTTACTGCAGTTAACTTATCAGAAACTGTTTCAGAGTAAGCAATTACGTTACTACTGTACTTGCATCCTGGTTCTTTTAGTTATCAGATGTAACAGGTTATGAGGTTCTACAGAACTGATATAGAAATATTTTTTATGAGTTAAAGGAGTTGTGTGGTATATGTCAATGATGAGAACACAAATGGCAAATAATCGAAAAATATATAGAGGTCAAAATAGTCTTCAACAATTGACATGTCGTCTTGTGAATCTTATAGTGTTATATGTCCACTTTTGATAAAAATGGAGATAGCTATATATTTGAGATCCAAGTGTAACGGTCTGTCTCCCTTTACAACTATAATATGAGATTTCCACACTCTACAAGTTTTTGTCAGAACTACACTGTTCTATCTCCACATTCCCATTGGATTATAATGGCTTATTCATCTAGTTAGTTCAGAGAAAAATATTTTTGTAGTGTAGTATCTCTACTATTTCTCATGTATTTTTGCTGTTAAAAATTTGTTATCAAAATTATCTTAGTAGTGCATTCTATGATTAAATGGTTTGCAGTTTGAACTCAATCTATGAGAAATTCTTAGCAAATCCAACAGTACAGAATTGGGGATATTACAAAGCTAAAAAATCCATGGTCTATCTCCAATGGAAATATAGGGATGAATTTCTAAAACTGCATTGTGTGTAGTGAAATGTTCTCCAAAAAAGGGGATGCTTTATTTATCTAAGTTGAGGTCTATTAAAAAAAAAATTAAACTAAGAGTTACTCTTGATGTACGTCTATTCGATTCCTATATAACTTTTTATGTTTCAGTCAAATATTTATGATATTGAGCTTTTAAACTTTAATTTAGATTTTTATCACTATTATCAAATGGGAAATACATCATTATAAGATTCACACGACAATGTGTCTATTCAATATATCAAGTTCTGAAGTACAATGAAACAGACATTTAAAGCACATGTATTTTGTTTTTGTTTTGATTGGAAGGCTGTTAGACTATTTATACTTACTCTATCAAGTATTTACTACCTCAAAAAATAAAATTAACATAGAGACCTAATGGGTAACTTGTTTGATTATAGAGACCAAAAATTATGAAATTAATAGTCGGATTTTGATATATCATATATTAACATACAGCAAGAAAATAAATAAGGATTTGAAAAAATGAATTTTTAAGAATTTTTTCTGCAAATATATAGAATTCTAATGGGCTTTAATAGATAGATAGAAACTTTAAAAGGCAAAAAGGATCAGCAAGACAAGATCTACAAATAAGTCAACATAACCAAAATAGTCAACTCCTTATTGAAGTTATTGCCCTTTAATGATGATTTTCCCCATTTTTTCCCATTTTTATCTGTTATCTTGAAAACTGTAAATAACAGTAAAATAGATAGATAGAAACTTTAGATAGCACAAATGATCAGCAAGACAAGATCTACAAATGTGCCATAATGACAGAAATCTTCAAGACTTGTTATTGGAGTTATTGCCCCTTAAATGATAATTTTTAACATTTTTATTCATTTTTTGCCTATTATCTTGAAAACTATCACAAATAAATAGAATCTTTAAAAAGTAAAAATTATCAGCAGGATAAAATCTACAAGCATGTCAACATGACTGAAATTGTCAGTTAACTTTATATAGAATTATTCCCGTTATATTATGATTTTTTACTAACAAGTGACTATTGTTGAAGATGCATGTGACTGACACAGGCTCTTTAGAGCATCTAGTTTGAGATCTTAACCCTTATCTTTTTAGTCTTGATTATTACTAATTTTACAGATAGCAGGATGTTATAAGATTTGAGATTCTACAGGAGTCTTTTAAGAAATATCTAAAAAAACATCTAAAGCTCTAAATTGCCCGGAGTCTAGATATGTAGTGCATGAACTTAACAAAGACTAATTAAGATCTGCCATCAATGCCAGATCCCCTAACAAGACAAAAAAGGCATTAAGATTTGACAAAAGACAATCATTAATGAGGTTCATGTTTTGCAACAGGCACATTAACATATAGCTGGGTTATAGTAAATTTTTGAGATCTCAGTCAAATATTTTTTACAGGGAGTAGGATGTGACAGGGTACTAGATTCCACTAAAGTAGAAGATAAATGTGGTGCATGTGATGGCAGAGATCGTAACTGTAAAACAGTCACAGGAACATTAGGACACAAAGGTTTGTCTGTTATTATACCCCGTGTAACAAAGTTGCATACGGTATAATGTTTTTGACCAGTCCATCCGTCAGTCTGTCAGTCCTCTGAAACCACATAACAGAATTTCATGAAACTTTATAGATAATGAGGACATACTATGCGGATGTGCATACCAACAGGAAATTATGATTCAATTTGTTTTCTAGGAGTTATACCCCTTTGAATTTAGAATTTCTGCCTAAATGTACTTTTGCAACAGTTTTTCATTGCAACTCCTCTGAAAACACACTACAGAGTTTGATGAAACTAGATAATAAGGACATTCTATGTAGGTGTGCATATGGACAGAAAATTATGATTCATTGTTTTTTCAAGGAGTTATGCCCCTTTGAACTTAGAAGTTTGGCCTAAATATTCTTCTGCAACAGTTTGTCAGAGCAACTCCTCAGAAACCACTCAACAGAATTTCATGAAACTTTGTAGTTAATGAGGACATAAATTTAGATATGCATATCCACAAGAAATTGTTATCAATTGACATTTGTAGAACATATGAGTCTTTAAACTTAGGAATCTGGTGAGATTTGTTTGCTCATGACAATGTTGTGATATGGGATATGTATGTGTGCGCACAAAGGTTCTTTTATTTTTGACTCGCTTTTAACAAAACTGGGCATAGGTGAAACATATCTATTACTTTTCATGCAGTGGTGCAATTCTTATATGGCAATCTATATATCATCAACCAGTATAATCACTGTATATCTAATTTTAGCGCTAACACATTAATACACAAAAGTGGATGTTTTGGGTAACACCCACCTTATTTACATGACAAGGTAAACTCAATTTGCGACAGTGAAACCCTCATTTTACGTAGGCCATGCTTCAATACAATACGATTATCTCTAGTCTAATGCAACATAAACAAATCAGTCCATTTCAGTTATTATTTTGTTGTAAAATTTTATAAAAACAAGGAATTATTTGAATCTGAAATAATTTTGAATTCTGGAAATGTATGATGAAAACTTACCCAATTAAGAAGGGTTAGCCATGCATGGCTAAGGGTGTTATTTAGTTTATACTGAAATATCAGTAAAAGTAACTTGAACCTTAGCGACGCCTGCATGGCTAACCCACTAAAGTTTGGTTAGTTTTCATTATACATTTCTGATCAATTTTCCAGAATCTAAAATTATTCCAGATTCAAATAATTCCATGTTTTAAAACAAAAATTCTGCGAAATGATGTTATCATCTTTGGCAATTAAACAAGGTTATGTTATCGCACGGGATAAAATAATCGAATATATATTCCCAACTCATGGTCAAATGAAACATTTCATTAAAATACACTTTAGTTAGATCTGGATCAAGACTTATATTCTTACATATTGTCTGAAAGATGACTGTCTCAGTAGCTTCTGATTTTAATGTTGCATATTTAAGACAGGTGATCGATTCAGGCTTCATGTAGCCTCTAGTTGCATTTAGCCTTTTCTAGCCAATTTCTCTGCAACATATATTTTCTCAACAACATTGTTGTATTCATAGAAGAGAAGATCTCTTGACACTTTATATTTACTAGTGAAAATCAGTTGGTTTACAATATGTGGTTTTTTTGTGAGGAGAACATTTTCATATATAATTATATAGAAAAAAAAATTATTTCAACAGGGAGTGTAATTTTTTGTTGTCCATACACTGGCTAAAAAAATTTGGGGCAATTTTGTGTTAATTTGCAAAAATGTTCTTAACCCTTATTGTGCGGGGTTGTAATATTACAGCCTCTACCTAAAGTACTGTTTTTTGGCAGAACAGAGGCCTTAACTTCCCAAAATAGTGTATTCCCATGGGCATATACCTACTGATTGTCTTTATTAATGAAATACACTTTACAGGGAATGACTACTTCTGGTTGCATGTCCAGACAATGACAAAAATTCAGGGGAAAGCAGAAAATTCTGGATTTAAGTTGGATACAACATTCTTTAGACTACCATCCCCAGATAAATTTCACTCCGACCTAAGACCTTTTGTGGTTAATGTGTTCACTGTTGTCCACTCTACATGCAGACTACAGTGAGATACATCTATTTGCTTCCCTTGGTCTTCCAGGTCAAGAAACGAAAAATCATCAAAATGGATGTTCTTTGCACTTGATGACCAACTTTGGGGCATCTTACACCTCCTCACCCCAACTTTCTCACCACAACCACACTGCCCCATGATCCCTTATCTTAGTTTTATTGGCATCAATAAGCATCAGTAGCAGGGTAACGCTCATTTGCATATATTTTGCATATTTTAGCAAATAAATGAAAATTAGACATCATGTTATTGTCCTAACTGTATAGGAATTAGGGGCAAAAAAGGGGCAAAAAACAAGCATTTTTCTTGTTTCAGGTCAATAACTTGTGTATAAGAGTATGGATCTCAATGAAATTGTCTTACAAAGGTTTCATACCAAAAAAGGAAGGTTGGGATTTTTTTGGTAGTTATGGCCCTAACTGTTTAGGAATTTAAAAGGGGCAAAAGGAGGCCTAAAACAATACTTTTCTACTACTTTGTATAAATTGCTTATTTCTTGACCAATTTCAATGGGGTTTAATTCAAAGTCTTGAATTCTTGGGGTTCTTTAATATGCTGAATCCAACCATGTATTTAGATTTTGGATTTCGGGCCCCGTTTTTAAATTGGTCCCCATTGAAGTGTAAAGGGTCCAAAATTAATCTTTGTATTTGGGGTTCTTTAATATGCTGAATGTAACCAATAATTTAGATTTTGGATTTCGGGACCCGTTATTGAATTGGTCCACATTCAGGTCCAAAGGGTCCAAAATTAAAGTTTGTTTGATTTCATCCAAAATTGAATTCTTGGGATTCTTTGATATGCTAACTCTAACCATGTATTTAGATTTTAGATACTGTGGATTCATTTATATTCGTGTGTACCAATTTTCATGGATTGAGGAAAACTTGCATTTTCTTGGCTAATTAATTTTGTTGATTTGTAAAAGTTTAAATTAGTAATTTGTTGAAAATTTAAATTCGTGGTTCTCTTGTGACCACCAAATGCACGAAAATTGGTATCCAACAAATAATAATGAATCCACAGTATTGAACCATTATAGGTAAATGTCCAATTTCAAATTTTTAAGTTTTTAGACCACATTCATTCTGTGTCAGAAACCTATGCTGTGTCAAATAGTTGATCACAATCCAAATTCAGAGCTGCATCAAGTTTGAATGTTGTGTCCATACTTGCCCCAACTGTTCAGGGTACGACCACTACGGTTTTATCAAGCTGAGCCCCGCGGAACATTTTATTGGCATTTACACCCCAGTCAATAATTCCAAAACTTACTCTTTCAACTTAAATCTCATTGATTGATAGGACCAATGGTGGTGAGGTACATTCACTGAAAACAACAAATTCTATCACGATTTTCTTTTTCTTTTTAAACATTCGAATAAAGGTTTTCATAATATAAAAATGTTATTTTTAGTTGTGACTTTTACGATAGGATTTATCCTTTGGAATAAAAGATAACAACAGTTGTTTTAATAGATATGAAACTAAAGAGAAATTGTTAAAGTATATATGCCATACTTATGCACCTGACAGTGGAGATGTTTGATTGCTATAATATATGAAGTTAATAAAACACATGTTTTCTTTTGTACTTTCAGGTCAAAATAGAGTTTTGAGAATTCCATCTAATGCAAGATCAATCAAAATTACCTCACAAAAACCTGGAAAATCATATTTAGGTAGGTACCTTAGAACAGGTTATGATCTAGTTACTGTATAGGTTATGATCTAGTTAATAAAAGCATTTTCTTTTCAAAAAAGAATGCTCATATACGCACAGTGAATTTATTTTTGTTAATTCTTTTATAATTTCTATTACTATTTCAATGCTAAGATTTCTTGTGGACCTGAATTGTGAAAAATACAGCCTTGTGTTGATTTTATAAAAACAAATGTTGAACGACTGTACATCTTGTTTATATATAGAACTCTTATCATCAAAGGTCTGGAAACAATCATATTTTACTGTCCTGACAATTTTTTTTAAATCACTGACAGAAATATTCAGAACCAGGGCCTTCAAAATTGTGAAGATGTGTAATTCTGTTTCAAAATATCCACCTATTATGAATTTATTTAACCAGTTACTATTTATACCTGCCACCTCTTTGACTGTGTTTTGCTTGAGTATTTATTGTAACCTTTTCCAGGCTGTTAATCGTTTGGGTGTACCTGCATTTTATACACCTAGAAAACAGCCAGGAAAACACATATATTAATTTATGATTTGACAGTTTATAAGTGTGTCATGTGAATTTCTCACTTGTTATGAGTTATAGGATAACTATATTTGGTATATGGGTTCCTTGCAACATCTACATGTCCATCATACAGGGTTCACCTGACCTCTATCTCATTTCATTGATCATTTATCAAGGTTAAAGTTACATGATTAGGTCCGTTTCTCAGATACTATTAGCTGTAGGTCAACTATATGTGGTGTATAGAATGATTGAAAGGAGTACATGTCAGTCTGGCAGGTTTCATCTGACCTAGACCTTATTTTCATGGGGGTTAATGTTAAGTTTTTGTGTTTTAGTCATTTTTTTTAAGTACTATAAGCAATAGGTCAAGTATATTTGTTGTATGGAATCATTGGTTGGTGTACATATGAAAATAAGAAGATATGGTATGATTGCCATTGAGACAGCACTCCACAAGAGACCAAATGACACAGAAATTTACAACTACAGGTCACTGTATGGCCTTCAACTATGAGTAAAACCCAAACCGCATAGTCAGCTATAAAAGGCCCCGAAATGACAAATGTAAAACAATTCAAACGAGAAAAAACTAACAGCCTGATTTATGTACAAAATAATGAACGAAAAACAAATATGATATACAGCTGTCTGACAGTATATATCTGACCTTGACCTCATTGTCATGGATGTATACAAATGTTAAGTTTATGTGATACTTGTAGTAAAACCTTTAATCTTTAAGATATTCAACATAAAATCAATAGTCAGTATAGCAGTAAAGCAGGCTAGACATTTTAGCATGTTCACTCTTGTTTTATGTTTACGTTGATTACATATTTTTACAACTGGATGCCCAAGTACACCTTCATAAGCACACACAAAATTTGTTTTTGACATTAATATGAATTGTAATACTATAAGCTGTAGGTCAACTATATATGGTGTATAGAATGATTATAAGGGGTACTAACCCCTACTTTTCTTTTCATAATTTTATTGCACATAGTTTAAAAAGCCATGTTTGAAAAATCCTATGAAATCCTTGTTATTTTGTCACAGTTTTTGAACGAAAACGTTGCCTATGTCAATTGTATGAAAAATCTAGAGAGAATAATGTCCTGCCAAATTTTTAATGCCTTATATCTCAAAAACAAGGACACTTAAAATGTCAAATGTGTTGGTGGTTGTTGTGATCTGTTGCACTGTCCAGTACTTTTGGTGATTCCTGTTATCCTTTTAAGTATTTTTAGATACTATTAAACATAAATTGATTTATTTTGACAGCATTGCTGAATCATCTTTTCTGAAGGATGTTCGCTATCTTGTTTTTGACCTTTTGTCAGATATTCAGAATACTTTAGTTTTATCCATGTGGTGTCAATAAAAGTTTTGCCTGCTTACCCCTACTTTTCTTTCCATAATTTTATTGCATAGTTTAAAAAACCATTTGTGAAAATCTGATATTAAATCCTTGTTATTTTATCATAGTTTTTTAAAGAAAAGGGTGTCAATATCAAATGTACGAAAACTCTAGACTGAATCATTTCCTGTCATATTTTCAATGCCTAATATCTCAAAAACAAGGACACTGACCTTGCATTTTTTTCCTGCTTTATTAGTTCTGTTATATCTATATATTATCAGTTAATAACAATTGTTAAAATAACTTGTTATTTTGAAACAAAGAAACAAAAATCCTTAAATCCTAGATAAAAGTTTAAAATGAAACCTGAATTATAAAAAATAAGTTTAATTGTGTGAAAATATGCTGGACCCTACTTTAATATAATATGGTTTTATTTTAAAGAAAGTTAAAAGATGAAACCCTGTGAATACAGTTACTGAATAAAAATCCCAGAGTATATTTAAATCTGTTAGAGTTACCTCCCTTGATATGATTTCTTTGGTTTTTTTATTTTCAACAAACTTAACTGTTTGTTATCCCAAGGCCATAATCTCTTACGAAGTAAAAGGTAGTTGTTTTGCTGATTGTTGAAGGCTGTTAAGTGATCTATATTTTCCTTGTTCATTCAGTTTCACGAACTGGGAATCATTCTACATCTCCTTATCTATATTAAGTTTGATTGTAAGAAAAGATATTGTCAATTTTGACTTGAATGACCTAATTCAATGTAATCTTATGTCATTACTTTGCACTGCCCTGGTACATGAAATAAAAAAATTTGCCAAAAATACCACTGAGGGCAATTGCTTTATAACATGTCCCCTACTAAGGCAAGCTCAAATATTGATTCTGGTACTGCAAATTCTATCTCTTTGCTGATAAGAAATTTGCATTTCATTGAATATTTCCGTTCTCTAACTTTAGTTTGCCTCAACCAAATGTTATGAAACTAATACACAATGCTTATTACCACAAAACACAGATCAAGTTTGAATTTTGGTGGCGTCACTTTTACCGTTCTAGAGTTATACCCCTTTACAAATGGAAAAAATTGCTGAATTTTTCGTTTCCATTCTCTAACTTTAGTTTGCCTCAACCAAATGCTATGAAACTTATACACAATGCTTATTACCACAAAACACAGGTCAACTTTGAATTTTGGTGGCGTCACTTTTACCGTTCTAGAGTTATGCCCCTTTACGAATGGAAAAATTGCTGAATTTTTGGTTTCCGTTCTCTAACTTTAGTTTGCCTCAACCAAATGTTATGAAACTTATACACAATACTTATTACCACAAAACATAGATCAAGTTTGAAATTTGGTGGCGTCACTTTAACCGTTCTAGAGTTATGCCCCTTTACAAATGGAAAAATTCCTGAAATATTTTTTTCTGTTCTCTAACTTTAGTTTGCCTCAACGAAATGTTATGAAACTTATGCACAACGCTTATTACCACAAAACTCAGATCAAGTACAAATTTGGGTAGCGTCACTTTTACAGTTCTTGAGTTATATCCCTTTATAATGTTATATGCAAGTGGGGGCATCATCTGTGTCCATGGACACATTCCCCATTTATTTTTGTTCTTTTTAGCTTACCTGGCCCACCTGGCCCAAAGGGCCAAGTGAGCTTTTCTCATCTCTTGTTGTACGTCATCGTCTGTCATCGTCTGTTAACTTTTACAAAAATCTTCTCCTCTGAAACTACTAGGCCAAATTTACCCAAACTTGGCCACAATCATCATTGGGTTATCTAGTTTTAGAAATGTGTCCGATGACCCTGTCTGCCAACCAAGATGGCTGACATGGCTAGAAATAGAACATAGTGGTAAAATGCAAGTTTTGTCTATTATTTTGAAAACCATTATAAATAGAGAAAATCTGACAGTGCAAAAATGTTCAGAATGTTGAGCTCTACCAATTGTCCATTTATGTCAAAACTGTAAGATGACTTCTTATAGGAGTTATTGCCCTGAAATGACAAATTTTACCATTTTTTTTCATTTTTGCCTACTATCTTGAAAACTATAATAGATAAAGAGAAATTTTAATCTGCAAAAATGATCAGCAAGACAAGTTCTACAAATATGTCTAACATGGTTGAAATCGTCAGTTGACTCCTTATTGGAGTTACTGCCCTTCAACGATGATTTTCTAAATTTTTTTTGCGTTTATATTAGGGATGTCAACTTTGTGAAGATTTACTAATCGAGTACTCGTTAGATTTCCCGAGCGATACTCAAGTACTCGCTCGGAAAAAAAACATCTACAAAATGGAAACACAAAATTATACCCATTTTACGTATTGTGGGTCGTTGTCTTATGGATGTAAAACCCTCAACATTATTACCTGGACTAGATAATAGTCCCAGGAATTTTATACCATAATTAATAGCTCATTTACTCCATGTACTAATTATGTAAACTGACAATTATCTAATCAATTAATTAATAAACATCTATAGAAAAATGTTTCCTCAAACAACAGTATTTGCGAATCGTAAAAAAACACATTTAATGATCAACAAAGGGGTGATGATTAGAACTTACTGATGCCTTTAACCATTCACTGAGGGTCGACACAGGGTTCCACGAATTTGTTCTTGTTTAGAAATATGATCTTTTCAACTTTTTCTGGGACTAATCGATTTCTCGACTTTGTTACGTAAGTAACAGTCCTGCTGATGAAAATATTTGCTCTGGCGGTACAGAGGTGGTGGAATGACCAAGATATGATAAGCTAAAAATGTAAGCCTTGGAAAGGTGCTCTTGTTCATAGCATGCATCTGTTCAAGGGAATTTTAAATGACAATTAAACGCAAACATTCGAAGCGTTTTTAAATTTTGATTAATTTTGATTTAATATGTTTAATTTCCCGGGAAGCGCTCTTAATAAAAATATTTTTTTCTTTAAGAAGGCAACAACATTCTAACAGAAACCGATTAGTCGAGTATCATTTTGGTATTCGATACTCGGTACTACCGAGCGATACTCGAGTACTCGAGTACTCGTTGACATCCCTAGTTTATATGATAAAAATTATAATTGATAAAAAGACACTTTAAATCACAAAAATGATCAGCCAGTCAAGATCTAACAAGTCAAATTTTGCTGATATAGTTAGTAGACTGTCACTCTTTATAGGAGTGATTGCCCTTAAATGAGGACTTTTTTTACCCTCTTTTGTGTTTTGAGCAAAAACTAAAGAAGATTGAGAGAAACTAAACAGACTAAATGATCAGCAATACAAGCTCAACAAAACAGAGATTTTTGTCATGAATTCTATTCTCTTCTACAATGTTGGAGAGTGTCCTTTGTTGTATATGCACATAGACCAAGGTGAGCGACACAGGCTCTTTAGAGCCTCTAGTTTCACCTTTTACTTAGTTGGGTTTATGATTTAGCTGTTACTTCCTGTTTTTTCAGCCATTTACTTTATTTTTTCTTTCAGCTGTTCAGAAGGGTACAGAATCTCTAACATTAGTGGGTAACATAGGACAGAATGGCAAAGTAATGCTGGTTTTACAAGGTCTAACATTTGAATATCATGTGACCAGTGAGGGGAGAGGTACACAGAAACTTACAGCCGCAGGACCTACTAATGACACTGTTATTGTCACTGTAAGTTTCTTTAGAAATGTTTCTTGCCTAAAAGGACTACCTTATTGTTCTGTCACATAAACACCATCTACTTTGTCTTGTGAAAGGATATTGATGCCCCTGCCGTAGCGGATGGGACATTAAGTTTTACCCTTGTCCGTCCGTACGTCCCAAAATTGGTTTCCGGTTAGTTTGCCTCAACCAAATGTTATGAAACTTACACACAAAGCTTATTAACACAAAACACAGGTCAGGTTTTAATTTAGGTGGTTTCACTTTTACCGTTCTAGAGTTATTCCCCTTTACAAATGGAAAAATTGCTTAATTTTTCGTTTCCGTTCTCTAACTTTAGTTTGCCTCAACCAAATGCTATGAAACTTATACACAATGCTTATTACCACAAAACACAGATCAAGTTTGAATTTTGGTGGCGTCACTTTAACCGTTCTAGAGTAATGCTCCTTTACAAATGGAAAAATTGCTGAATTTTTGGTTTCCGTTCTCTAACTTTAGTTTGTCTCAACTAAATGTTATGAAACTTACACACATTGCTTATTACCACAAAACTCAGATCAAGTTTGAATTTTGGTGGCGTCACTTTTACCGTTCTAGAGTTATGCCCCTTTACAAATGGAAAAATTACTGAATTTTTTGTTTCCGTTCTCGACCTTCAGTCTGCCTCAACCAAATGTTATGAAAATTATACACAATACTTATTACATCAAAACTCAGATCTAGTACAAATTTGGGTAGCATCACTTTTACAGTTCTGGAGTTATGTCCCTTTATAACTTTATATGATATGCTAGCGGGGGCATCATCTGTGTCCCATGGACACATTCCCCATTTCTTTTTTTATGTGACGGTACTGGTCTTGTACCAATTACTGTAAGAAGTGTATTGTTTTTGAAAAATATTGTTTTTAATAGGAAGTCTGTTAAGAAATAGTCTTGTAAATGTATCATATAAAGTTATGTTTAATACCATTGCCTCGGACTATTAAATAATTCTTTTATTAATAACAAAAAGCAGCAACCCTTTTTGCAAAAAGTCATGAATATTTCAGTATAACTTACGATCATTTTTTATCATAAAACTTTTTTCTTGTGAAATTTTATGTGTATTTCTTATTGATACTTTTGAGTCCACAAATAATAAAAATTTTCACTTTTTAAATCGGCACATTTTTGTCATATTTTTCTATTTTGTGGCAAGAAGAGAAGCAGGTATGTCAAATGAACCAATTATATATTCAGTTAGGCCATAAATTCCAAAGCTCTTCTTCCTTTTCATCAAATCTCAACTGATCATGTGTTATGTCACTTGAAATCAACAAGTTGCACTGTATTGAAGAGGAGCATTTAGTTCGATTTTCAAATTTATCAACCTTTTTTAATTCTTTTCGAAGCTTTGGTATTATAGCTAACGCCATAAAGTACCCATGATGTGTTGAAACTGATAAATTTGTTATTTCCTTGTCTAAATCAGAACAAACAAAACAAGTTTTTTAAAAACTAAATAAAAGTATTTGCCTGGAGATGAAGTAGCATGTAATAGTTGTATCTACCAAACACGCCCATTATTGCTAAATGCTAGGTGATGGTTACTGACCATAACTTGTCCTCAAAACCAATTTTATTTAGCATTTATTAAACCCCTAGCTTTTCTGAAGAGGATGGTATTAAGTGATTGTGGAGTCTGTCCTTTAACTCATCCTTCTGTCCTACTTTTGTATCTGTAGTTGCTCCTTAACCCTTTGACACAATATTGTGAAACTTTCACAGAATCTTCCACACATGTTGTTCTTTGATGCCTTCTATTTCATTTCTTAATTTGAACGATTATTGGGGTCTACTTTTAGATGACATGATTTCATAGTACACATATTGTATTTGCTTCATCTAATCCCCTAATCATAATTTAATGAAACTTAACAATATAATGTCATTGTGCACCTTCATTTTGCTTTTTGATCAGAACCATAAGTATTTGTAAATAGACTGTCTGGTTAACAATTATAGGTCATGAAGCCAAAGAGAGAGCATGTAATATACCATTATCAGTATTCTATCGCAACTAACAATGGAGTGCAATCTTGGAGGGATGAGAAATCCAGACAAGCAGCTGATACCATGCGAGGAGATGCCACTGGTAGATATGTATGGTTAACAGGACACTGGACTGTGTGTGACAAAGACTGTGGAGAGGGTTAATATGGCTTTATTTTTTTACTCACTCTCATAATCTCTTTATATCTAAGAATTATTTGTAGATATTTAACATTACTTCACAAACATAAATCAAGAATTGTTACTTCCAATATGCAGGAAGAAAGTAAATTAAATAAATATATAAATTGGAAGTTGATAATATTTAGATGGCAGAATAATCAACAGTATAGAAATGTATACCTCAATGATGTTAGTGCTTCAATGGAAAACACTTTTACAGTCAAATAGGAAAAGAGTATAATTAAGTGAAAGATTTGAGAAACCAAAAGTCAGTTCATCTTTCAATTTTGTCAGTTTTTGTCTTGAATTGATGGAGTCAAAAAGTTAGACTTAGATATACTGTTTCTGTCATTGGCAGCATTGGTGGCAATATTGTTGGCAGCATCAACAGTTTGTTAAATTTGTGATTAGGTCAGTTCAAGGGGAACTTCTTATGATAAGTCAGTGATATTTGATAAGCAGTTGTATAAGCTTTGGCACATCTTGTTTCCATGGAGATTATTTTTCCTCAACCTCTAAGTCATGGTCTATTTACTTTGAAACTTTTGTAGTTTACATGATAAATATTGTGATTAGGTCAGTTCTAGGGGAACCACTTATGATAAGTCAATGATATTTGGTATGCAGTTGTATAAGCATTGGCACATCTCGTTTCAATGGAGATTATTTGTGCTTGTCCCCTCAGTCATACTTTAAAACTTTTGCATAGTTTATATGTTAAAGTTTGTGACTAGGTCAGTTTAAGGTGAACCACTTATAAGTTATTTGGCCCTGTTCCTTCAGTCATGGTTCATTGACTTGGAGTATTTAGCATAATTCTCATGATAAAGTATTGCTATGTTAATTTCAACATTTGCATTTTACTATCAAAATTATATACAGGCGAGACATATCTCTATGTTAACAATTTGTTATTATTATCAAACATTTGAATGATTAATCAGATATAAGAAGATCAGTATCTTCATTTTATTTTTTGACATTTTCAATATTTCAGGTGTTCAGAGAAGAGCAGTATCATGTATGGACACTAGAAATCCCAAGGTAGTGAGACAAGTCTACTGTAATGGTATAAATCCTCCGCCAAGTCAACAGAAATGTAGGGGGAAAATTTGTAATGATTCTGCTACCATTAATGTGTAAGAATTGTTATCTGTTATTCAATGTAATGTAATACCATTAAACATATCAGACATTGCCAACAGTAATATGATGTTAAATAGATTATACCATTACAAATAAAGAGCAATGTTAAAGGTCCCACAGGAATCAACTCATGTTTCTCAGCTTGTTCTTCCAAACTTGATGTAAACCGTCTTAGAAATTCTATTTTATCCTGACAATGCTAATATAGTCATTATTCTGTTTTAGCCAATGTAAATCTAACCCAGCACAAGGGCTTTCATTCTTGGTTTGATTATTAGTCATAATTCATTGTTGTCCATACTATACCATCGTTTTGATTTTGACAATTTTTGGCAAGAGTTATAGTTCTTTGACCACTTTAAACCTAGTGTAGGGTAATGACCCCATGTTAAAGTTTGAGACCATATGTCTGGAAACTTTCATTTAGTGAGGTTGTTTTTCATGTTTATAAGGGGCAAGGAACATTTCACTCAACTTTTGTCCTGTGAAACCACATGAACAAATCTCTTCAAGTTAAATAGGAATGATTTCAGTATCCTGTAAAAAAAAAGTCTTCATGTTGTCTTGATTAAAAAGTTTTCATGGCAGGAATGTGATGAAATTTTTTAATATGTTTTAAGTCATTTTGCAAGAAAATAAATTTTGGGTACATTTTTTCTTGAACTTTTAATTTATAAAATAAAATTTCAGACCTTAAATGCCACTTTTTGCATTGCATTTGCATTTTTTAGCCCCTTGAATTCCAAAGCAAAAAATTATAATAAATATATTTAAAGGCATCCATCAGATGTTCACAAGACATTATTCTGTCAGATGTTAGTAGTTATATTTTTATATTGTGTCTTAAATCTTCTTGCATTTCATACAAAACTGCAAAATCTGCCAAAATAGCCTTATTTTCAGATCTTGCCTTAAATATGAGCCAAGGCTGTACCCAAAACGTTTTTTTGCCTCCAGATGTCTTATACAAAGATATTGATGTGAAGAAAAAAATATATTTTTGGGTGAGGTTTTGGCTCATAACCATGGCAAATATATAGAAGGTCCTACTGGAAATATAACCATTTTATTCCTGTCAAATAAACAACTGATTGGCCAGAAACAATTCAGCATCCCACTTTGAAAAAAGATGCAATTAACAAATTCTGAAAAAATTCTGTTAAGGGCTTATTGCTTCTAACCTAAAGAAGAAGATTGATTGGTGGGAGAGTTGCTATTGCTGACATTGGGAATAGATACTAGATGTATGCTCTTTAGGTTCTCTTTATTTTGTAATACTTTGTTTAAAAAGTTGATGTGGTATTGGAGCAGTTGTTGAGAAAGAAATTTCAAGTAATAGCAATTTGATATATTAAACTTATTTGTTTATTACAGACAATGGGACAATGGTGAATGGGGACCATGCTCATCATCCTGTGGTCTAGGAGAGCAGTCTAAGCCAGTATTCTGTAGAGCATATAGATCAGATGGTTTTAACTTTGTTACAAATGATGCCAAATGTCTGGAGGCTTATCCAATCAAACCAGTCTATATGAGATCCTGTAATGATCATGTAAATTGTCCAGAATGGCAAACGACTGTTTGGTCTAAGGTAATTTCAAATTGACAGCGAAGATTTAATTTTGCAATCATATGTACATTAGTCAAAAGAAGATGTAAAAGGGAAACAGGAATGACTCTTCTTGCTGTTTAAGTATGTATGATGGTATAGTAGGTTATTTCTTAGGATGCTATTTATTGATACAACCACCACTGGTACTATATTTAGATCAGTGGATGTTAAACACCATTTTCAATAATTTTCTTTGCAATGGCAGAGCATATTGGGGTCAAATGTTAGGGAATAATTTCTTTGTTGGTTCCTTTTTCAATATATCATTATTAAATTATTTTCAAATATGTAGAAGCCATAGTGATACAACTTCCTATAGGCCTCTACTTCTTCATGTAGTGCTATATAGAAAGTGTTTGTCTTCAAAAATTTAGTTGATGGCTAAATATTGCCACAAGTATTGCCATTCTTTCTATGAATGTTGGGAAATGAATTGCAGGTGAGCAACTTCTTTATTATAATACCATTCCATGATGGGACTGTCATAATATATGTGATATGTTAAGAATTAATGTTTTAATAGAAAAAATCTTTGTTAATTTGAATAAAAAACCATTAATTTTCAAAGTGTTAGAGCCAAAAATAAAAAAAATTATAATATTGAGTGAAATTGAGATAATTTTTTCACTTGGTGCATATTTTAATATTTTTATGCCCCTTCCGTAGCAAATGGTGCACTAAATTTTACCCTTGTCCAACTGTACGTCGGTTCGTACGTCCTTACATCCCAAAATTGGTTTTCGTTCTCTAACTTTAGTTTGCCTGATCCAAATGTTATGAAACTTATGCACAATGCTTATTACATCAAAACACAGATCAAGTTTGATTTTTGGTGGCGTCACTTTTACCATTCTAGAGTTATGCCCATAACAAATGGAAAAATTGCTGAATTTTTCGTTTCCGTTCTCTAACTTAAGTTTGCCTCAACCAAATTTTATGAAACTTATACACAATGCTTATTACCACAAAACTCAGATCAAGTACAAATTTGGGTAGCGTCACTTTTACTGTTCTTGAGTTATGTACCTTTATAATATTATATGTCCCTTGGACACATTTTCCAGTGAAATTGAAATTGAAGACTAGAGTTATATTGTTTATTTTACTTATTCATTTAATCAATTTTGAAACTTGCTTGGTGTAGTCTTTGTGCAAGCAAGCTTGCAAACCTAGGAGATCATTGTCCTATTCACACACTATAGATAATTGGTATTTGCTGCCTTTCCACTACGGGTGCAGCATTTCAGAGTAAGTGCAAAGAGTGGTCAGCTTACAGTTAGAATAATGTGTCAGTGAAGGGCATTCCTGCAGACGAGCCATGTGAGTTTAGTACAAAGCAGGGTATCATCATCACAGTATAATGTTATAGTACTTAATATGCTTGTAATATTTGTCGCTGGATATTAAACAGCCATCAAACAATCAACAAATAAACACTGAATTATTTTGTTTTCACCCAGTGTAGTAAAAAATGTGGAATTGGAGAACAGACGAGAAGAGTGTACTGTAGAGGTCCAGATCCATCTGGTGATAGAAACATATTGCCATCATCAGCATGTTCCCCGTTAGACAGACCGCTGGAAAGAAAAAGTTGCTTTGACAGTATTAGATGTCAAGAAGGCCCAATTGGTGAATTAGAGGTATTTATTATTTGTGCAAATATTGATCTTTCTACAGAGTTATGAGATTAGAAATTAAAGCATGTCTGTGGTAAAAAAAAAGAATATGAACACAATATACACTTAATCAAGTATGAAAATAGCATCACAAATCAAGTACCCTCAAAACTGAAAATCCTATTTGCTCCTTTTATTTGAATTCCACATCCCATATCACCATATACAGGGTTTGAATCATTAGACATGGGGTTTTTTGACAAAACATCCAGTTATGTATCTGAATCTCAGGCCATGGATAAGCCAATTAGGTTTCCAGAGTGAGTTATTTATACCAATAAAGTATATCTAGCCTGGCCCCAATGGACTGGGATATATTTGTTTACCTTCCTTGATCCATTGTATGAAATTTTCGTCACCTTTATGGAAGGAACTACATACCATGGTTTATTAGTAAGCTTCATGTGACATGCTATATCATCTGATGCGTTTTCTCTTCCCTCCTGCATTAGCTTCCTGTTTACTGAATACCTGAATATTCATACACATTTTGGCCAGGTATAAAAATTTCATCACATTTTATTCAGGAACTACACATCAGAGTTTCCTAAAATTTTGTATCAAGCTTCATGTGAGCATGCTATACTGTGTGATGTGTTTTCACATCAATCGATCATCAACTTCCTGTTAACTGAATACTTATAGCAGGAGTATCATTAGTAAGCAAAAGCTCACATTACATCGCATTTAAATTATTGTTCTGCACTTACCCCTTAATAAATCCTATAGAATCAGGGCTTAAGTGGGCTAGTATTAGTGTCTAACTGATACTTCCTGAGAATTAGATATTGCTTTATATCCACTCCAGTTATTTAATTCTTAACCATTCTTTTTCTGTAAAAATATAAAATCAAGTAATTATTGATCTAGTCTTTTGCACATACCAGTATGATGTCATATGTCCTGGTTCAAACTATAACATCAGACATGTTAAAACTTTTTGAATGCTTCATAATATGATAAATTTTGACAAATAGAAGATTTTCAGGTGAAAAGTGTACTAAGTGCAGTGTGATACGAGAAATATCTCTTTGTGCAGTGCAAGAAATAGATAACAGGCCACAACCATAAGAGAATGTCTCATATAAAATCCTTGTACAGATCAATATATATCTCAACATTGAATAATATAAGTAACACAGTGTTATAGTGACCCCATATATATCGTATACCATATGGATTTTACTGACCCCATATATATCAGGGGCGGATCCAGGATTTTGGAAAAGGGGGGCGTAGTATTAAAGTTTGGCGAGCATAGTGAGGCAAAAAAAAATTTTTGGACCTTTTTTGGCTAAAATACATAAAATAAGTGGAAAATGCATTTTATAGTTAAATTGTAGGGTTGGACATTTTTGGTGCCATATTCTCTCCCTTAATTGTCTATTATAAAATGATTAGATGGATCCAAAGCTATGTACTAATTAATATATTTGATGTGGGATTTGTCAGTAAAAAATGGACATGGAAAATTCTCGTTTGTTGTATGGTTAGTTAGCATAACCTCACAGATTTCTTGTTGTAAACATGATATATGGCTATTCAATGAAATTTCATATATGACCGACACGAAGAAAGACTAACAAGCAATTTTTATCCAAATGTTTGGTTGAAATGTTTCAACCAACAAGGGAAGTGAGGGGTTCCAAATCAACCAAAGGCTATGAATGAGTCGTAAATGACAATGAAGTTGTGAATGACGGTCGACACATGGAGACATATAGGCCACACCTAGCAGGCAGGTTGCAGTCGGGCCTTGAAAAAAGTATTCGGTATATCAGTTCGGCAACAGACATTCCGGTCAGATATGGGATTCACATGCAACCCCCCCCAAAAAAAAATTACGTCCTTTTTTATTCATCATGTTCATTTAATGCTAAATAATTTTGTGAAAATATTTTTTTCTAATAGAAAAAAAGTGGACAAGATTATTGTTTTCAATCCAGATACGGCCAGAATTTTTGTTTAAGGCATAAATCAGGGTCAGAATTTTTTCTCTAAAATATCTCAGACTGCCCCCTCAAATCAAATGGTCCGTACCTTAGACTTTAAATCTATATCTAGAGCTTACTGACTGGGGATCACTATTCAGCAATGTTGTTAATGGGCTGGAGCGTGTGGGGTTTTACATGTTTTCGTAGGTAAATAATATTGCTGTGGAACTTTTTTTTTATAGAATATTACTTCCTGTTGGGTGGAATTGTGAAATAGAAGTCAATACGTTCTTGCTCGATACTTTGTAGCTTTGAAGGCGTCATGCTTGTCATCCTCAGCCTAAGCAATGTGTTACTGTAATTTGAATTTCAAAATGACTGTGTGACGTTTTTTTTGACGTACTGGTCAACTCCACCATAGCGAATCATGTGACTTTGACATAATCAATAATATATTACAGTAAATCCGAGCGAAAAATATCTTTATAAGTAAAGAATCCCCCCCCCCCCCCTTCTGACCCCATATATATTGTATTAGGTCACCAGCACACTGTGTAAAGAATTTATCTTCCTGACTATCTTAACTTATGGCATTTAGACTAGTGGCCTATCAAAGTGATCAAATCTTCAATATAAAGAACCTAATTCCATTGGTCTAAACAAAAACAAATGCCAACAATAACAACTTGTTAGCTTTTAATGTGTTTTCTGCATTTCCTTTATCATTCATCATCAATATCTTCATCTGTTGTCCAAGTGATACATTTTTTCTCAACACCATGTTTTTTTTATAAAGAGACGTAAGACCACCAATAACTGTGTATTAAATTAAACCACGCCTACTAACCCCATATTAATATATAGGGCCTCAACGGGGTTGCTTTTAACCAATGATATTCCTATAAATGTATAGGAGGTAAGATAATGTTTCTGACATTAAATGATTTTGATGTTATTTTGAGTAGACTGTCAGTAGAATTCCAACTTAATGGAAATGTACATGCACAGTAATCTTCCATTTAAACACTTTACCAAACTTAAGATATCATCAACATATTTTAATTTAAATTGTTTTTTTAAAATCATGGCCACCAACAAATTGTTTAATTGATGAAATTGTAGATAGCTAGAATTGAAATAAAGGTAACTTTCACCTAGATGTCAATCACTATTTTACATATATATATATGATAGGTATTAATTCACAAAAAATCTTGGCATATTGTATATGTATATTGACCTATTCATTGCTTTAAATATACAGCTTTTTAAAAAGACTGATATCTTAAAACCCTTGCAAAATAAGATGCACAGCTTTATTGTTATACAAAATTAGGTTTCATTTGTTACATATGAAGAGGATTAAATGCATTCAAGTTCAAGGGTTTACCTCTTGGTAATCTTTAGGACCTTTTTTTAACTTTACCTTAAAAGTCTAATTGATATTACAGAATTGGAAGCTTGCTATAATGCTAGAAGTGATAAATGAACAATCTTTGTTTTATATAGCCTAGCAATATTTTAACTTTAAAAGATGGACGACATGAGAAAATAAAATTCCTTGGCTTTTAAACAAGATGAAAAAATGTTGAACCCTTGAACATCTATAATGCTACTCTTCATATACTGCTACAAAATCAGTCTGCTCATTTCAATGTTTTTTAGTTGATTCATAAACTTGTTAATTGTCCTCTCCAAAACTCCAAAACAAGGTTAGGGGGAGGAATATAGCAGTTATTGTGTTCCTTCATCTCTGTTAAGTTCCATTTAAGTTCAGACCGTATTCATTTCAAATCAGGGGAAATGACTTGTGCCGTAGTAAACATATTTCCATATTTTTGATTTATGCAAATACCTGTTCATTACTGTATCTTTAAAAAAAAAAAACAACCCAAAGATTGTACAACAATATCTTTTTCTTCAATGGGTCACCAGTATAACATCATCATAGGGTGAAATACATCACGTAGTGTTGTATCCTACATCACATTATGTCACAGATGTCCAGCTGCTGAAGTTCATGGCAAACAAGATTTAACCACATTAAACTGGCAGCAGCAAGAGGGTTAATATTGTGAATGGGAGGCAGGTTTTATATGGGGAAATTAGTCACTGATTTATGATGGATAGTCATTGAAAGTATTATTTTCATCCAATCAGGAATGGGAAATATTAATCAACCCTCTTCTATTGGTACATTTGAAACTCTGTCCTGCCTTCTTATGCTTTAGTTTAGTGTTGTGTTATAAGTTGATTCCTATTATAAAATATTCATGATAAATCAATGCTAAAATCCTAGCAATTTTTGCCGAGCCTTCGACTTCTTTTGCAGAAAGCGAGACATAGGGATAGTGAATTAGGGGCGGTGCTGCCAGCTTAATTTTTTAGAAGGTAGAAGGCCTGGATGCTTCATACTTTGTATATAGATGCCTTATGTTATGAAGTTTCCGTCTGTCATATGTCCATTGTCCTTGACCTCATTTTCATGGTTCAATGACTACTTGAAAAAAAGGTTAAGATTTTTAGTATTCTTTATTTCTCTCTTATTATGAGTAATAGGATAACTATATTTGGTATGTGCATACCTTTCAAGGTTCTAATGCCTGTCAGACAGTTTTCACTTGACCTTGACCTTATTTCATGGATCAGTGAACAAGGCTAAGTTTCCGTGGTCAAGTCCATATCTCAGATACTATAAGCAATAGGTCTACTATATTTGGTGTATGGAATGATTGTAAGGTGTACATGTCCAACTGGCAGGTGTCATCTGACCTTGACCTCATTTTCATGGTTCAGTGGTTAAAGTTAAGTTTTTGTGTTTTGGTCTGTTTTTAATAATACTGTATGCAATAGGTCAACTATATTTGGTGTATGAAAATATATATGTGCATGTCATTCTGGCAAGTTTTATTTGACCTTGACCTCAATTTTACGGTTCATTGGTCAATGTTAAGTTTTTGTGTTTTGGTCTGTTCTTCAAACTTTCTCAAACTATAAGCAATAGGTCAGCTATATTTGGTGTATGGAATGATTGTAAGCTGTATATGTCTGTCTGTCAGTTATCATCTGACCTTGACCTCATTTTCATGGTTAATTGGTCAGTGTTACGTTATCGTGGTTGATATTGTTTCTTAGATAATTTATGCAATAGGTCAACTATATTTAAAGCATGTAACAATTGTAAGGTGTACATTTCTGTCTGGCAGGGTTTATCTGACCGTGACCTCATTTTCATGGTTCATTGATCAATGTTTACGGTCCCTGGTTAAGTTTGTTTCTTAGATACTATATGCAATAGGTCAACTATATTTAAACATGGAATGATTGTAAGGTGTACATGTCTGTCTGGCAGGGTTCATCTGACCTTGACCTCATTTTCATGGTTCATTAGTCAACATAAAGTTTTCATGGTTTGGTCTGTTTCTTGTATACTATAAGCAATAGGTTAACTATATTTGGTGTATGGAATGATTTTAATGTGAACATGTATTTCTGGCTAGGTTTATCTGACCTTGACCTCTTTGTTCATGTTAAGTTTATGTGATACTTGTTATAAAACTTTATATTTAGGACTATCAGCATATTATCAATGGTCAGTAAAGCAGGCGAGACATTTCAGCGTGTGCACTCTTGTTTATTTGTGTTGTCATTACTTTCATTTTATGTGTGCAAGTATTAGGTAGCTTTTCAAATACATGTATTTCTATTGAGTGTAGGGCAAATGTGTATATTTGTTATACTGACTTTTGGTAGATGGTACATTTCAACTAAGATTTTTTCAAATCTTTTAGTATGTTTGCATAACTGATAAGATTTAACATTACACATTTTGGATACATTAAGGGAAATTTACAAATATTTTGTGCATATTTCAGCAGAGATTGTATATGTATGTATAATAAAAAAATTCCCTTCAGTTTTTGTAACACTTGTGATGAAAGTATAGAATGTGAGCCATAGGGATTACCATCCAGCTGCAGTGACTTCGTAAACTATTTGTGTAAACTTTATATTTCAGAAGGTAAAAGACCTGGATGCTTCAAACCTTGCATGCATATGCCTTATGTTACGAATTTTTCCTCTTTCATATGTCATTTTCATGGTTCAGCAACTGCTTAAAAAAAATGTATAGTTTTTTGTCATTTGAAGTACTCAGTTGTTATTAAGTAATAAGATAACCATAGTTATTTTCTATATATTACAAGAACAAATAGACTGTACAAAATCATTTCTTTTCTTATCATCTTAGATAAATTTCTTTCTCTAATTTTTGTGCTATTTTCACATTTCTCCTCACTAGTGAAATATCTGTTCTCCCCAAATAATTAGTCGAAATTTGATTATGACGTCAAAATGTTTTGTTTTCTTCTGAATTTTCCTATTGTGACGTCATGAAAAAAGGCGACCATGCCTGATGACGTCGCATATAAAGAACACAAGTTTCTGAAAATCTTTCAAAATCGAAGGATAAAATCATCAGAGAAACAGATTCCGACACCATAACTCGTGTATTACAATATTTCTCTACTCTCGACAGTTAAATTTAAATTATTTAAAAAGCTCGGCGAGCCTCGCGCTTTAAATGATAAAATTTAACTGTCTCGAGTGGAGAAATATAGTAATACATTTGTTGCAGTGTAGGAATCTATATTTCTATTATTATAATTTCATTTCTTTTCTTATCATCTTAGATAAATTTCTTTCTATTATATCTTAAAATAAGAGGGTTTGAAAATGTGTAAGTTATCTCCCCTACGATAACAGAAAAAACCTTTATAGAAACATTTTAATAATGAAAATATCAATTTTACTAAGTTTTAAGTTGAAAAATGTTTTAAGTTTTTTTTATAATACAGTGACATACATGTAAATTCAGACTTTAATGTGTATATTTATGAATGTAATTCTGTGACAGTTGACAAATAATGTAAGCTTATTTAGTTCAGTTCCATTGCTTGTTGCTATCCAATATTACCAACTAAAAAAATGAAAAGTTGTAATATACATCCAGTCACTTATTTTTTAAGAAAAAAACATTGCATTTATTTCTGAATGTGGAGTAAATGATAAGTTTTTATTTTAGCGTGGACAGCCTAGGTGTAGAAATAGTTTGTATGGTTGTTGTCCTGATGGGTATACTTCCGCTACAGGTTATAGTTATAGAGGATGTCGAAGAGGTAGGTGTTCTATTGTCCTGATGGGTATACTTCCGCTACAGGTTATAGATATAGAGGATGTCGAAGAGGTAGGTGTTCTATTGTCCTGATGGGTATACTTCCGCTACAGGTTATAGATATAGAGGATGTCGAAGAGGTAGGTGTTCTATTGTCCTGATGGGTATACTTCCTCTACAGGTTATAGTTATAGAGGATGTCAAAGAAGTAGGTGTTCTATTGGCATTGAAAAATTTGTAAGGAATGTTGAAATTATTTCAAGGTATCTTGATAAAAGAGAAAAGTCAGCAAATTTATATGATATAATGGAAAAGCAAAACTACCTAAGAACATGAGAAGAAGTAATTAAAAGATTATATGCAGGTGTGCTCCTTCTATAAGGAGGAAATTCCACAAAGTTTTACTCATTTGATTTCTTCGTTAAGTTTTTAGCCACATTTTCAGGAAAGAATGCTTAGTTCATTTGATGTATCCCTGTATCTAGGTCTAAGAAACTAGTTGACATACAGCAATTTCATGTTGTGCACATGCATTTTGAAGAGACCACATACCACTGAGATTGAGTCAACATCAGACAAAGAAATAAGTAATTGAAATTGGTAGCTATATTCTTGTGTGAATTTTTTTTTCAAACCACCCACCACCACCACCAGGTGATCAATGATTGTATGTATATTGAAGTTACGCATGTTGCTTTAATGGAATTGTTTGAAAATTTTTCTCCCATTTTTCAAGACTTTGGAAATTGATTATTTTTCTGTAAAAATTTTCACTAGATGGCAAGATGTAGTGTCTTCTTTCTCCTTCATATTTTCTTTTCTTTTTTCGCTTGCCTGGAATCTTGTTTGAGGAATGTATCAGATCTTTTCGATAGTTTTAAATTAGTTAGATGCACTTTTTGTCGAGTCTGCGACTTTTGTCGCAAAAGCGAGACATAGCGATCCTACATTCTGTCGGTGTCCAGATCCACAAATATTCACTCTGTGGTTAAAGTTTTTCAAATTTTAATAACTTTCTTAAACTATCCTGCATTTCAACCAAACTTGGACAGAAGCTTGTTTATGATCATAAGATAGAATCCAGAAGGAAATTTTGTAAAAAAAAAAAAATCCTGTTTATCCGTATTTTACTCATAAATGGACTTAGTTTTTCTGCCAGTTAACATTACATTCACTCTGTGGTTAAAGTTTTTCAAATTTTAATAACTTTCTTAAACTATCCTAGATTTGTACCAAACTTGGACAGAAGCTTGTTTATGATCATAAGATAGTATCCAGAAGAAAATTTTGTAAAAAAAAAATCCTGTTTATCCGTATTTTACTTATAAATGGACTTAGTTTTTCTGCCAGTTAACATTACATTCACTCTGTGGTTAAAGCTTTCAAAATTTTAATAACTTTCTTAAACTATCCTGGATTTGTACCAAATTTGGACAAAAGCTTGTTTATTATCAATAGCTAGCATCTAGAAGGAAATTTTGTAAAAATTTATTTCCTGTTGTTCCGTATATTACTTATAAATGGACTTAGTTTTATTCCAGTTAACATTACTTATAGTCTGCAGTTAAAGTTTTTAAAACATTTATTAGATTCATAAACCTTGGATTTTTACCAAACTTGAACAGAACTTCTTACAATCAAAAGATAGTATCTAGAGGAAAATTTTTAATAATTTTTTCCCCATTTTTGTTGAGCCTGGGACTAACAGCATAAGTAGGCGAGACACTGGGTTCCGCGAAATCCTTATGATTTTTTTTTTATTCTTTTACTTATGAGCAGAGAACTTAACTTTATAAATTTAAATTTGAAAATAAGAAGATGTGGTATGATGGCCAATGAGACAACATTCCAACTGAGACCAAATGACATAGAAGGTTAGCAACTACAGGTCAAAAATATATTCTTTATCATGATCAGACCTCTGTGAAAGTTAACACAGATAATTATTGATGATTAACATGAAGGATAGACTTGCTACAATTCCCTTTCATTTAATTCTTTTTTACTAATTTATATGTTTACTGAAAGCTGCCATGTTACGGAATGCCCCAGTGCACTGATTGCCCTTAGCAGGTGTCAATATAATGGCAATCTCTTAGTTATAGCAGTAAAATTGTTAAAGGGGTAAAATTGAAAAAAAAAAAAGAAAACTAGGAAGGGACATGTAGCAAGTCTACATGAAGGAAAGTCATTCTCTACTTAAGAATTGAATGACTACCCATTCCTTGACTAGACAATGGAATATAAATCTTTAAATTTGCTCACAGTATTTTCAGTTTCATTATGGTATTGTTTTTATCATCTAAATATGCACAAACTATTTACCACAAGACATTAAACATACAAAATGAATTGTTTCCAGTTAGTTTTCAGACTTGTTATAAGATGAAATTGTGTATACATCCTGTAAAAGGTTAATAATGAATAGGAAATTTGTCAAATTACTCTCTTATAAATTGCATCTATAGAATTTAATTGCTACATTTTAAATTATAACTTTGTAAATTAAAACCACACACAGGAACAATATTTTTTTATAGCTATGTTAGCAATACTTTTTATTAAGTTTTCCATTTGAGGACATGTATTTCTTTTTATAAGGCAGTTTGATATTAGTATATAGTTATATGGTGTTGGATATTTGATATCAAAGTACAATGTTTTTAATGTTGTTGGTATTTTGTCAGCTTGTAAAATTGTTAAATGGCAGACAGTATGCTTTTGTTCCATATGTAATCTGGAAGTATTCCAATGATAAGGGACACCCAGCAATGTCATCTAAAGGTCAGGCATTATTTTCTTCTTCTTGTAAAAATAATCATATATTGTTGGTGAAAGAGTATCAAAACTGATCATTGAACAGATATAAATATATGATGGGGGAATTGTACATTAAAAAAAATATTCCAATGAATTTTATTCAAACATTTGTATTTTTACAACTGAGATTAAAAAGAAAAAATCCCAATACAAAGTTAGCATATACTTTCCTTATAGTAAATTTATTATTAGGTAAGCTATGAACTTTAAAGTGACATTTATGAATGAAATTATAAGATCTCACACAAATGTCTTCCTGTTTAATAGAAAAGTTTGTCAATGAAAACAGGTGACAGGGGTAGAGGCATATGTATTGTGTGAAAATCAAACTTTATATACCATTGACATTCCTGAAAATATGTTTTAGTAATAACTTTCCAGGCCAGTAGCTATGATGACTCTGGGGGGAATTATTTGGAGTCATGATGCTCTGACTTCAATCTGAATGTTGACTTTAATGAACTTAAATAGTACCTGTATTATAGTTTTCAGACAGGAGTGCTCAAACACCCCTGGCTACAGGTATACTTTCTGGAAATTTATAATGCCACCCAACTGACTTGGATAGTTATTTTACATTCAAATGTATTATAACTTTGAATACTTGAGAAACCTTGAATAGTAATTGTTTGGTTATAAAGGCTATGAACCCTTTGGCCCCTATCTTAGTGACTCCTATGAGTTATTAAATTTTAAGTCAAAGTAAGATATCATGGAGCTATTTTTAACATGAAGCCATTTCCAGATTTAGAGAACTAGAAAACCCCTTTGTTTGTATAAGAAAATTTAATAGGTATTGCCATTGCTTTGTGATTGTAGTGACAAGTTTACAGATTTAAAGGTCTGGTCAGAAGATGTTACTTTCATTGTGTACCCAAATTCAGCCAAACTTGCTTCTTAAGAAATAGGTCAATGGGACTTGTTTCACTGATTTGACGGCTGTATTCCTTTTCATGAAAAAGTTAGTTACTTGGTTGTTGTTTGATGGAGAATTACTTTAACCTAAAAGCCCATAGCCAGGATGTCTCTAAGACAGGTTATTTTGGGTCAAGACACTTTGACTTTAGAAGTCAATCTTCAATCTGAATGTCCATTTTAAAAATAATTTGAAGTTGTATTTTTTGTCTCACATGCGACAAAAGTTGCAGTATGCGAGACATAGGGATTACTATCGGCAGCCGGGGTGTAAACTGTTTGTATAAATTTTATATTTCAAAAGGTAGAAGACCTGGATGCTTCATAGCTTGTATGCTGATATCGTATGTTAAGAAGTTTCCACCTGTCATATGTCCATTGTCCTTGACCTCATTTTCATGTTCAGCTATTACTTGAAAAAAAATTGTGCTTTTGTCTTGTGAATTTCTTACTTATTATGAGTACTAGGATAACTATATTTGGCATAAGGGTTCCTTTCAACAGCCACATGTCCTTCAGATAGGGTTCACTTGTCCTCGACCTCATAACATAGATCAGTGATCAAGGTTAAAGTTACATGATTAAATTGGTTTCTCTGATACTATAAGAAGTAGGTCAACTAAATGTGGTGTATGGAATGATTGTAAGGGGTAAATGTCAGTCTGGCAGATTTCATCTGATCTTGTCCTCATTTTCATGGATCATTGGTCAATGTTAAGTTTTTGTGTTTTGGTCTGTTTTTCAAGTACTATCAGTAATAGGTGAGGTGTACTTGTCGGGCTAGCTGGTATCATCTGACCTTGACCTCATTTTCATGGTTCATTGGTCAATGTTAAGTTTTTGTGTTTTGGTCTGTTTTTCAAGTACTATCAGTAATAGGTGAGGTGTACTTGTCGGGCTAGCTGGTATCATCTGACCTTGACCTCATTTTCATGGATCATTGGTCAATGTTAAGTTTTTGTGTTTTGGTCTGTTTTTCAAGTACTATCAGTAATAGGTGAGGTGTACTTGTCGGGCTAGCTGGTATCATCTGACCTTGACCTCATTTTCATGGTTCATTGGTCAATGTTAAGTTTTTGTGTTTTTGTCTGGTTTTCAAATATTATTAGCAATAGGTCAGCTATATTTGTTGTATGGAATAATTGTAAGGTGTACATGTCTGTCTGGCAGGTATCATCTGACCTTGACCCCATTTTCATGGTTCATTGGTCAATGTTAAGTTTTGGTCTGTTTTTCAATTACACTACCATAAGCAATAGGTCAACTATA